TTGAAGCTGAAAGAATTATTTTTCGGGATGAAGAAGCTCCTGATGTGATGAATAATCTGTTGCCTGCCCACAACATCGGGCCAATAGTCCGAATGATTTGTGAAGATGAGGAATTTGATCCGGCACTGAAGGCCATTGCAGCCATTGTCGAGACAGAAGAAAAGCCAAAAAATGGTCGCCAAGCATGAAAGTTCCCCATCAGACGGGAGTCTTGGTTGCCAGTCTTGCTATCCTTTCTGCGTCCAGATTATCTCAGGGTGTGATCCGGATGTTTTACTTTATTGTCTTACTATCCGATGTAAACCCTTCTATCTCCAAAAAAAATTCAAAAATCAAAAAATCAAAAAATCAAATGAAATTAATATTTCATTTTCCAGGAATGTCTCTTTTCTTAATCTTGTCATTTTTCTTTCTTATTCTCTTTTAAATTCTGTTAAATGCAGATTTTAATAACATGACATGCTTGCGGACTTCATGCTCGGATCCTGAAAGCTGTCAGACCTCGAAATAATGAATCAAGGATTAGATCGCAATGAAGATAAAGTTTAAGGAAATAAAACAAAGAGTTGGAACAATAGAAGGAAAATTGGTTCCAGAATTGGAAAGGTCCATACATTACAACAAGAATACTGCCAAAAGAGTGCGTTGTACTTGGGACACATAAAAGGAAATGTCCCTGAAATAATTGTCAATACAAATGCAGTCAAAAGGTACTATGTTGGATCCATTATATAGCATTAATGTTCTCCAGTTGGGATGAAGAAGACTTTTCTTTCTCACTATCCAAACACTATCAACCCTTTGCAAACCCTTTGAGCCGGTTACTTTTCTTTGATTACCCTCTTTGGAACCTGAAAGTGTTATTGGAAAAAAATAAAAAAAAATGAGATAAAAAGTAAAAAAAAAAATGGAGAAGAAAAAGAAAAAAAGGAAAAAAAGACAAAGAAAATGAAAAAAAAACGAAAAAAGAAAGGAAAAAAGGAAAGGAAAGGAAAAAGAAAGAGAAAACAAAACAAAACAGAAAAACAAAAGAAAATAAAAAACAAAGTTTCCTGAACTACGTTCGACTTGATTCCAAAAGGATACGTAGGCAGCCTCTCTCTGGGGTTCCACCAAAACAAAAATCCAAATTCCCCCCAAAAGTGAAATTGGGGCAGATGTTGTAATGGTCCGACGATGATCCCGTCTGAATGGTTCCAAAGTTGTAATTCGATCAAAATCATATTTACCCAAATCCTTTCAAGTCCTTCCGATCAATCGGTGAGAATGTTCAAGGATCAGAGAATACAGCTACTTGGATCCGATGCAATAAAAATGAGAGAAATAATATGAGAGAATCTTATGGTGAAAACCCACACGGGCACCATGAGGCGATGGTAAGCAGAGAAATGAAAAATAAGAGAGTCTTGTTAGTGAAAACTCATAAAGAGCACTATAAGGCGAGAAGTGAAATGAGAGAGTTCAGCTCGTGGAAACCCGCAAAGGGCGCCCCTGATCAAACAGAGGATCCTCACAACCATTAACACCGACAGATTCCTGTCAAGGTTTCTTGATTTTGAGGCAAAGGTTGTGATGAATTTGTAAGAGTCAGATGGTTTACACATATCAGATATCCAGTCCAAAAGGCATGTCATGTTCATTGAAGTCCGCATGTACTCCAGATAAGTCCTTATTTCCTTTCCCCGAAAGAGACACTTCTTGTTTTAAACTCGTTGTCCATTCCATTGTCTGTTTTCTTTGAATCTCTTTCGGTATAAATCTGTTCCGAAACTAATACAAAGAAAGGATGGTAATATTGATTTACAGAGTTCTCATTTGACACGAGCCAATGTGCAAAAAAGCACCTAGCCTCGTCAAGGGCATCAAGTCGACTGGCCATGGGGGCCGATGCTTTGAAATCAGAACTCTCGGAAGGAGAAAATCAAATTGAAGTGCCTACAAAGGCAAAATAAAGTTGAAAAGTTAAGTCTCACGTGGCTAACTATCTCAGAAAAGGTTTGAAAAACCAATGTACCCCAAATGCTCTGAAATTGAAGTTGGGAGAAAGAAGCCAGAAAAGAAAGGCCTACGAAGGCGAAATAAAGTTGGAAAAGGTTAAGTCCCACTCGACTAGCTGTTGCAGCAAAGTCTGAGGAGCCAAAAGTTCCCCTATGCTCCGAAGAAAAGAAAAGAAAAGAAAAAAAATGAATATAAAAAAAGAAAAAAAAAGAATAAGAGAAATTAGAAGGGAAAGGCATGCGAAGGCAAAATAAGGTCGAAAAGGTTGAGTTCCACCGACTTATAATCATGACAAAGTCTGGAAAAGCCAGAGTTTCTCCAGAGTCAGAAAGACAGTCGGTATTCAGGAAGCAACCAGTTGCAGTTGAAAGGGCCGAGATCAAGTGATCAAAACAATCAAGGCCACAAAACCAACCACCGTTTCAAACTAACAATTGTTCTTTGTTTAAAAATATGGAACAGATGCAATCCAAAGCAACCTTGCAACAAGCAGGTGCAACCAAAGAGAAACTACGCAAGGGTTAGAAACAGCTTTGCAGCAATAATCAATCCAAAAGGGAAGTCCCCTCCAATTTTTCTTTCTCGCATTTACTCATTCCATGAAATAAAAAAGAAGAGAAAGGAAAATTAAATGAAAAAAAAGAGATAAGAAGAAAAAAAATGGTAGCTCAGAATCCCCAATCTCTACTTTTATGCTTTTCAAACATAGGGTCTCCACTCCCTAGTTGAGATTTTAGACATAGAGTCTCCATCCCCTAGTCACTTTTGGCCAACATAAGGCTCCAATCCCTAGTTGAGATTTTAGACATAGGGCCTCCATTCCCTAGTCGCTTTTACCAACATAGGGCTCCAATCCCTAGTTGATATTTTTAGGCATAGGGCCTTTATTCCCTAGTCGCCTTTTTTGCCGACATAGGGCTCCAATCCCTGGTTAAGATTTTAGACATAGGGCCTCCATTTTTTAGTGCCTTTTTTTCCAACATAGGGCTCCAATAACTAGTTGAGATTTTTTAGACATAGGGCCTCCATTCCCTAGTCGCTTTTTGCCAACATAGGGCTCCAATCCCTTGTTGAGATTTTTAGACATAGAGCCTCCATTCCCTAGTCGCCTTTTTTGCCAACATAGGGCTCCAATCCATAGTTGAGATTTTTAGACATAGTGCCTCCATTCCCTAGTCGCCTTTTGCCAACATAAGGCTCCAATCCTTAGTTAAGATTTTTTAGACATAGGGCCTCCATTCCCTAGTCGCCTTTTTTGCCAACATATGGCTCCAATCCCTAGTTGAGATTTTTAGACATAGGGCCTCCATTCCCTAGTCGCCTTTTTTGCCAACATATGGCTCCAATCCCTAGTTGAGATTTTTAGACATAGGGCCTCTATTCCCTAGTTGCCTTTTTGCCAACATAGGGCTCTAATCCCTAATTGAGATTCTTTTTAGACATAGGGCCTCCATTTCCTAGTCGCCTTTTGCCAACATAGGGCTCCAATCCCTAGTTGAGATTTTAGACATAGGGTCTCCATCCCCTAGTTACCTTTTGCCAACATAGGGCTCCAATCCCTAGTTGAGATTTTTAGACATAGGACATCCATTCCCCAATCGCCTTTTTGCCAACATAGGGCTCCAATCCCTAGTTTAGATTTTTAGACATAAGACCTCCATTCCCCAGTTGCCTTTTTGCCAACATAGGGCTCCAATCCCTAGTTTACATTTTTAGACATAAGGCCTCCATTCCCTAGTCGCCTTTTGCCAACATATGGTATCCACTCCCTAGTTGAGGCTATTTTAGATATAGGACTCCACTCCCTAATCTCTTTATCCTAAAGACACACAATCTTTATCTTATCGCTTTCAAAAAAAAAGAAATAGTTTAGATTTTAGTTACAAATAACTCACAAAATTTTCCTAGTGAAAACTGGGGCAGAAAAATTTCGTTCGTTTGTTTGTTTTGGTGTCTGAGAAGGTTTGGCCTCGAGGCATAAGGTCCGAGACGACCAAAAGAATGAGTCTAAATCCAAAATAAAAAAAAGAAGAAAAAGAACAAAAAGAAATGAACTCCAAATGTTGAAGTGGAGGATGCAGATTGTTCAAGATATGATCGAAGTCACAAGCTTCGCGTGTCCCGCCTCGATCCAAAACTGAAGAATGAACCAGCAGTTACAGCTGACGAGCATCAAGATTCAGATCGGAGTCTGCAGCAAGAACCGGCCGAGACTCAAGATCAAGCTTCAAGAGATTTATAGATAGGAATCTTGTAACTCGTAGCTGATAGGCTTAGCTAGTTTAGCTTTTTATTTTTTCCATTTTTGGTGTAATAAGGAGTTCAGCAAGCAGCAGCAGCAACAACAATAGTTAAATCACAGCTTCCCGGTAGTTCCAGCTACCAAAACTTCCAGAACTACACTGACTTGATTCCTTTATAGCCAAGGATATGTAGGCAACCTCTGAAGCAAGGTTCGGTCAGGCTCTTTTCAAAAAATGCTTCTCATAGAGTTTCAAACGGGCAAAAATCCCTCATAATTGCTTATTTTATCTTTGCCCGAAAACCCTTCGTGTTTACGAGCAAAGAGGGGCAACTGTGAGCACGTGATTTTTACCTCATATAAGTTACTCTTATAGAATCCCAAAGAATTAGATTTTTCTTTTAATTATTTGTTATCTTAGGAATTATTGTAGAATTTTTCTGATTATTTGCATTTTTGTGCATGTTTAATTTTATTTAATTCATGAAAAATACAAAATACATTGCATTTGTATTTAGAATTTAATTTTACATTTTTAGATTAATTAGTAAATTAGTTGTTTTATAGAAATTTGAAAATCACAAAAAATAGCTCATTTTTACATTTTTGTCTTTTGATTTTTAGCTTATTGATTTTTCTCTTTTAATTTAAAATTAAGTAATGTTTATAATTTTTATAATTAGTTAATTAGTTTAATTTTAATTTTTAGATAATTTAGGATTTTAATTTTAGGATTTTTAGTTAAAGAAGAAGAAAAAGAAAAACAAAGGAAAAAGAATGAAAGAGGGGTTCTAATATGAATTAGGCTAATTCTTGTACCCAAATCAGGCCCAAATCCCTGCCTAAAAACTACCCAAACCCGTCCAAACTACCCAGGCCCAAAAATTGACCCGACCCGCCTGACCCAACCTCCCCTTTTTAAATTAAAAACCTAGCTAGACCTAAGGATATAAATCAGATCCATCAGACCTCTAAGAACGAAGAGGGAACGACAGACCTTCTGGGTTCTCTTCTTCATTTTAAGTTTCTGAAAACACCACAAAACAAGCGACTCCTTCACTCATACATACTCAATTCACACTCTCTTACACACGCCTAAGCCCTAGTAGCAGCTGAAAATTCTAGAATTCAAGATCTGAATTTCAAAATTTCAAAATCTCAAAAACAAACAACAAAACTCAACCAAAAAAGAGTTACAAAGTTGATTCAAGTCTCAGTTTCACATGCTTGATATTCTCTGGAAATTTCAAAGCTTAATCAAGTTGTAAAGGTGTCGTTATTTATAGGTTTGCTGTTCTCCGCATAGCTAGGCTCCAATTTGCTGATCTCAGTCCCTATTTGAGTTGTTTTAATTTGTTTTACTGCTGATAAGAGAGTCGCTGCTGGAGCTCACTCTTATTTCAGACCTTATTTGGTCAATTTCGCTGCTGCTTCTGTCTGTTTCATCGCTGAGCTCCCTGCTCCTTTCTTTGCTTTTATTCGGGCTAGTTTCGCAATGTATTACTGCTGATTGAGGTATGGGTTTCAGTCCAAAAATGATGTAACTAATTTTGAATGCCATCTTCTCTATGATTGTTTTGTTGGAATTCACACTCGATTCCATCATTTTCTTATGTTTGGATTGAAAGTAGTAAGGCATTATTTTGATTCCTTTGAGATATAAGAACATAGAATTGACCCAACTCGGGTCCTTTGGAATTCACGCGCTATTTAAATTAATTTTCTTAAACTCGGGTGTGCATTTTATGTGACCCAACTCCAATTCTCAACAACGTTAAATAAAATATGTCGCAGATCGCGGGTGCATTTCAAGTGGCGTGATTCAAGGTATATTTTAAATAACGTTGAATCTTCCTAAAAGTAATTAAAAGCGGTTAATGAGTTAAAAATGCACCATAGGCTAAAACATGTATTAAAATTAGATAATATGCCAATTATAATAGTTTAAGCGACCGTGCTAGAACCACGAAACTCGGGAATGCCTAACACCTTCTCTCGGGTTAACAAAATTCCTTACTTAGAATTTCTGGTTCGCAGACATCTAAAGGAAAGTCGAAATTTCCTCGATTTGGGATTTAAAATAAACCGGTGACTTGGGACACCAATTAAAATAATCCAAGTGGCGACTCTAAAGAAATTAAATAATAATCCCATTCCGAATAATGTCACTTTAATTGGAAAAACTCCATTATATCCCCTCGGGTGGGTAAAAAAGAGGTGTGACATATACCGATTTTGGTTAGATTCGGGGCATTTGGAGGCCAAATCGAGAGGAAAAGGCTTTGTGGGCTAGAGTTTGGCTTGACTTCTGGTAACGCTTCCAAACTTGGTTCCGAGTGTTCGAAACCCCGAACTATGTGTTCTATGATTACTATTGAGGTAACGCAAATGCCAAGTCACGGGCGTGTGGGTGTGCACCGTGAGAAATGCAGCTTGGGTCATTCCAGTGCACCGCTTAGTGACTCTTTCTTGCTGATATCTATGATGTATCTATGTGATTAAGTCAATGAACTGCAAATCATGCTAAATACCATGTTAAGGCTTCACGCCAATACTATTGAGACCCGAGGGGTCGTTTCTTACTGTCATGTCATTAGTTTCATGTATATTCTATACTCAATCATATTCATGCACATTATATCATGCCTCAGCCTCGATTATTGCTATTTGACATATCATATCATTGTTCGGGCTTGTATCATGACATCTTAGCCCATGTGTGTGAGACTGGAGAGTATTGATTGAGTGAGCCCGAGAGCCTGATATTGATTGACAGTATGGGATCGGGCTGCATGCCGCAGCAAGATATTGATCATGCCTTCGCTGGCATTGATATAGCGCTTGGGCTCAAAGAAGCCCCTCTGGGGTCTTTACACCCCATTGAGCGCAATTAACGATATTGAGGGATGGATCTTCTCTGGTCATGGATCTTGTCTGAAGTATTGGTATGGAGATGGATCTTCTCCATGAGACTGGATTGGCCTGTTTTCTCGGTACTAGGTGACTTATAGTCTATGATGTCTATACATTTTGGGATGGATCTTTCCTGAGCCGAGTGGGCCGTATACAGTACTAAGTGGTTGAGCACTATGAGCGAAAGTATTATACGTAACATTGAGCATGCTATCTGTGCATTGGTACTTAGAGTTTCCTGAGCTTTATACTCTGCTTCGTACATACTGTGTTTAATTATTGCTGAGAAACTTTATGAACTGTAAACATGTCTACTTTTCCATACAATTAACTGTTGTAACCAGTTGAGGTTTGGTTCGTCACTACCGCCAATCCATAGTTTGGATTTGTTACTTACTGAGTTGGTATACTCACGTTACCCTCTGCACCCCTGTGTGCAGATCCATGTATCTCGGGGCACTAGTGGTTGCTAATCTTGCCGGTTGGAGGCCTTCTGAGGAGATTGCGAGGTAGCTGCTTGGCGACCGCATTTTTGCCCTCTCCTTCCCTATCTTCCTTTAGTTTATTTATGTGGATATTCTCAGACCGTGTTGGTCATGTTATTTCGAACAGTTGTAGTAGTTTTTGGCTCATGACTTAGTGACATCCGAGGTCAGGATTATGTTTCTTTCCACTGGATTTTAAGTTATACTACTATCTTATTGAATTTCTGTTAAAATTATGATTTTCCGTAAGTACTTATTTGAAAAATGGAGTGTTTGGGAATAAGTGGTTGGCCTAGTATCACGATAGGTGCCATCACGACATGGTTAAATTTTGGGTTGTGACATCTGGGGAGAATTGTGTATATGCAGACCTTACCCCTATCTAGTGCAGGTACAGAAATTGTTTCCAATAGATCTTCGGCTCAGAAAGGTAGGGGTGGTGAAGAGGGAAAAGAGCAAGAAGAATCAGATGGACAAAAAGAATAAGAAGAAAAAGAAACAAAGAGAGGGGAGAAAGGGGGAGAAAAGAATAAGTATTAACAAACATCAATCACAGGAGAGTATGATAACTGAAACAAACTAAACATATTCAAAATAGACACAAACGAATAAAAGGTAAGGTTATTATCGGCACGACCCAGGCCAAACGAGTCAAGCGCATGATTTATGATATTTTGTTGAGTGGTGACATGCAATCGTGTCCTTGGAGCTAGATCTTCGACGTGCCTCGGCACAGTAGTGAAAGCTCATTCAAAAATATGAAAGGAAGTACGGAAACATATCGAAGAAAGCACCACGAAGAGGATAAGAAGTTCTTAACACATTTTGTTTTCATGATCATCTTGATTCATGAAAAGATGTTGAGAGTCATTATGTTGTTCTTCAATTGCTATTATTGTTGTCATTTCTTATGTCGTTCAGTTTTAAGTAGCTTATTACTTTCTCTAAATCATCATTACGATTTGTTTTTTGTTACTTGTTATTTGCTTCGACTATATTATGATTCCTATCTAACCATCTTGTCAATGGCCCTTCTACAAAAGAAATAGGTGCTTAACACTCATATTACGAATTAAAAATAATAATACGTCAAGTGGTATTTACGCACAATGACATATATAATTAGATTATGGACTTGTGCTTGAAAGGACGAATCGATGAGATCAGATGATCATTTGACATTATCCTTTCCAATTTTGACATCTATGTTACAACAATTTTAGATTGTACTTATATATCTGTGGGACAATCATGATGTCACGACCCGATTCGCCCTCCGTGAACCATTGTGAGAGCATCTAGTCTCTACGACTAGGTAAGCCTAATTTGTTAAAGATAAATCAAAGTGCGGAATAAAAATAATTTAAAATAGAAATAGAGTGATATAACAGCGTTTAAAAGTGCCGCTCGGCATACATAGTATAAATTCTCGAAACAAATACAGTTTTCCCAAAACCCGAAAACCCATGAATCACAAACTAAAGATCACTACATGGTGCTCTAACTCCAGAATAGTCTAAAACAAAACGAATACAGAAGGGCTGTAACTATAAGAGAGAATGGAGAGAGACTCCTCGGTCTGCGGACACGACAGATATACCTCGAAGTCTCCGAACGGTCGCCTCGCCTCGCCTCAAGGGTGGTAAGTCTGAGTCGAGGTACCTGGATCTGCACATGAAAAACATGCACAGAAAGGGCATGAGTACACCACAACGGTACTCAGTAAGTGCCAAGCCTAACCTCGGTCGGGTAGTGACGAAGAGGTCAGGGCCCTACTGAGATTAAATAAATATAGAATAACAGAATAAGATAAACAGTACAATTGAGAATCTACAGTAAGAATCTAATACAGGATAATAAGGAATTCAATAACTGAAACAGAGACAAAGACAAAATACAAGGAAATACCACTAATAACAAGGATGATAACCGGGGATCTCTCAACATCCTCAATCTATGTCGGGGATCTCTTGGTATCCCGAGGATTTCTTGGTATCCTCAACGTATACAAGGGATCTCTTGGTATCCTGAGGATCTCTTGGTATCCTCAATATACGTGCCAGGTATCTCTCGGTATCTCACACCTCAGTTCAAATCATAAATATGTACAGGGGACTTCCCGGAATGCCGTCCCGTAGTCCCAAAGTAAAATACACGGCAACAACACAAGAATACTCAATTAAGCTCAATTTCGTACTAAGGTAAAACATGTAATTCTAATCTGACATGCTTCACATAATTCAATTAAGGCAATTTGAGCAAATAAACAGTTAGGTCAATTAGACATGCTTTTTCTAAGCTAACAGCAAGTTTAAATTGCAAGTAAAATGAAATAGGAAAAGGAACACAATTGAAATTACTTAAAGAAAACTGAATTTTCAACAATTAACTCAAGTATGCGCTCATCACCTCATGTACAAGGCATTTCAAATATCAGATATACCAAATCCTAAGGGGAAGGTCCCCCACACAAGGTTAAACAAGCCACTTACCTCGAACCGGCTTAAAAATCAACCCGAAACCACGTTTTTGCCACGAGTACTCGACTCCAAATGACCCAAATCTATTCAATTCAATTGCATAAGGTAAATAACACTTCAAGTAACTGATTCTACAAAGAAATTCTAAGCTAATACGCAAAATTAGGTAAAATGACCAAAATGCCCCTCGGGCCCACGTCTCGGAATCGGGTAAAATTTATATTTTCAGACTCATACTCTCATGAGTTCACGCATACCAAAATTATCCAAATCTAAGGTCAAATTCCTAATCAAAAGTCGGCTTTTAGGTCTAAGAACCTTCTTCCAACTTTTCCCAAATTTTCATCTCCAATCCGAAATTAAATGATGAAACTAACTATAGATTGATGGAATATAACTAGAAAGGGTTAAAGAATTGTTACTCAATGATCTCCTCTTCAATTTTCTCTCAAAATCGGCCTCTCCCTAGCTCCAAATCGAATTTCCAACTTGTGAAACTAAACCCTCAAAATTTCATATTTCTGCCCAGCTGTTTCAGCGGTCCTGGGACCTTCTTGGTATCCTCATCATCTATCACAAATATTGAACCTTTTTTAGTATTAAAACGACTATAATCTTTATATGGTACCTGCCAAGAGCTTTCCGGAAACGGCGATAATCAACGACGATAGTGGCGAGTAGCGATAGAATAAAGCTAGGTTTGTACTTTGTAAGCAGAAAGTGAAGACTGAAGACTGAAGAGAAAGCGGCACTGAAGAAGGGAGGAAATAATAGGGTTAGCCGGTTAGGGACTTAAGTGAATGAAAAGGTAGTATTATAAAATAAGGGTATATTTGTCTTTTTAGTATATCTTATCGGTTTATCAATAAACCGATAACTGAAGAGGACAAAATCGAAATCGAAATCGAGAACTCGATAAGGAAAATTTCGAAATCGAAATCGAAATCGATAAATTGATAAACTGATATCGATAAACCGATAATAAATAATCGATTCAATTTATCGATAAACCGTTTCGAATGCACACCCCTAGCATCGGCCACCACATTGGCCTTGCCCGGCTGATACAAAATAGTGATATCATAGTCCTTCAACAACTCTAACCACCTCCTCTGGCGCAAGTTTAGATCCTTTTGCTTGAACAAGTGCTGCAAGCTCCGATCACCCCGTATAAGTAATGGCGCCAACTCTTCAAGGCATGAACAATGGCAGCTAACTCAAGGTCGTGGATAGGGTAATTCTTCTCATGTACCTTCAACTTTCTGGACGCGTAGGCAATCACCCTACCGTACCGCATCAACACCGCTCCGAGGCCAATCCTCGAGGCATCACAATAAACCGTATAAGACCCTGAACCTGTAGGTAGTATCAAAATTGGGGTCGTAGTCAAAGCTGTCTTGAGCTTCTGAAAGCTCGCCTCACACTCCTCCGTCCACTAGAACGGAGAACCCTTCTGGGTCAACCTGGTCATAGGGGCTGCAATCGATGAAAACCCCTCCAAAAAATGACGGTAGTAACCTGCCAAGACAAGGAAACTGCGGATCTCTGTAGCTGAGGATGGTTTGGGACAACTCTGCATGACCTCTATTTTCTTCGTATCCACCTAAATACCCTCACTCGATACCACGTGGCCTAGGAATGCCACTGAATCCAACCAAAACTCACATTTCGAGAAGTTAGCATATAACTTTTTCTCTCTCAGAGTCTGAAGCACAGTCCTCAAGTGCTGCTCATGATCTTCCCGACTCCGGGAATACACCAAAATATCATCAATAAAGACAATGAAAAATGAGTCAAGATACGACCGAAACACACTGTGCATCAAGTGCATAAAAGTTTCTAGGGCTTTGGTCAGTCCAAATGACATAACAAGGAACTCGTAATGACCTTACCGAGTCCTGAAAGCAGTCTTCGGGATGTTTGGCTCCCGAATCTTCAACTGATGGTAACCTGAGCGTAAGTTAATCTTATAAAACACCTGTGTGACCTGAAGCTGGTCAAACAAATCATCAATACAAGGCAAAGGATAACAGTTCTTCACTATAACCTTGTTTAACTAGCGATAATCAATACACATACGCATAGAACCATCCTTTTTCTTCACAAACAAGACAGGATCACCCCAAGGTGATACACTGGGCCGAATAAAACCCTTATCAAGCAATTCTTGTAACTGATCCTTCAACTCCTTCAACTCAGGAGGAGCCATACGACATAGAGGAATGGAAATGGTCTGAGTGTCCGGCAACAGATCAATGCCGAAATCAATATCTCTATCAGGCGGCATGTCCGGAAGGTCAGCTAGAAACACATCGGGAAAATCCTGCACTACTGGAACTGAATCAACTGAAGGGGTATCAGTATTGATATCTCTCACATAAGCTAAATACGCGTCACACCCCTTCTCAACCATACGCTGAGCTTAAAGAAAAGAAATAACTCTACTGGGAGTGTGATCTAAAGTACACCTCCACTCAACACGCAGTACACCTAGCATAACTAGCGTCACGGTTTTGGCGTGACAATCAAGGATAGAAAAATGGGGCGGCAACCAGTCCATGCCCAAAATAATATCAAAATCTACCATGCTGAGCAACAATAAATCGGCTCTGGTCTCAAAACCACTAAGAGCAACCAAACACGATCGATAAACGCGGTCCATAATAAGAGAATCTCCTACAGGAGTAGAAACATAAATGGAGGAACTCAAAGAATCCCGAGGTACACCCAAATGCGGAGCAAAATAAGAAGACACA